CCCTCTAAAAGTGGAGGAATTTGGAGGGGAGAGAAAATTTTTAATAACAATATTACATTTTTTACCTTAATTGCGTGAATTATTTTATTTTTTTTTGTTTCGTACATCATTAAGGGTAGAACTATCATTTTTACAGTATTTTATTTCCCTTATATTTTCCGAACCAAACAAGGTTTACCATTTTCCCTCCACTCACCTCCTACAAAATCCCTCCAAATTCCTCCAAACAAAGTAAAATTATTTTACATCACCTTCTCTCCCCTCACCTCCCTTCCATTAAAATTCCTCCCCTCCATTTCCCTTTCTTGAACCAAACATAGGCTAACCGGTGATTTTGGTGTTGTCTAGCTTCCATTTTAAACAAGTGACCTACCGTTAGACTCGTCTTCTTGGGATAGTCATACCCATTAAATTTCAATCCGACTAGAATTTGGTTGCATGTTCACTTTGTCGTAAACTATGTCTATGCATTTTCATTTTCGCCTGCTATATTCTATCCGACAGAATTCTTGTATCGTACAACTAGTATTTTGATCGAGTGACTTCCTGTTGGACTAGTCTTCTAAGGCGACATTCTGATATATTATATTACTAGTACACAACTTTGCTAAGAAACCAGATGGTTGGTTCCCTTATGGAACCAACCACCAATGAAACAGTGCCACATGGGGCTGTCCCACATGATTTTCATGTGGGACAGCCCCATGTGGCACTGTCTCATTGGTGGTTGGTCCCATAAGGGAACCAACCATCTGGTTTCATAGAAGAACTATACTAGTACAACGCCCGTGTATTACACGGGTGCTTGCTAATTTTTTATTAAAATTTAAAATTAATGAGAAAAAGTAATTAAAAATTTCAATACCTTTTATAAAAATATATATATTATTATATATTTAGTATCACACTTTTTTATTTGTACGACTTATCTGTGTTATATTATAATATTTTTTTTGATTTACAACATATAATTACATTAAACATAAATATATCAATTGAGAAATAATTTTATTTTTTAATGAATTTTAATAAATATTATTATTTTTCAATTGAGAAAACAACCACATAGGCTCAGCGCATTCGGAAATAATATATAGGGAGGATACCAAGCACTAGAGCTTGTGTGACTTGGGAGAATGTCTAAAAAGTATTAGGTCGGTTAAGACCTCAAAGGCAAACTAGTTCAACAACATGTCGAGTTAGAAATTTAGGATAGTCTGATGGAAACTCGACTTAGAAGTGGAGACAGCTGGCTCAGCAAAGACCACAACGATTAAATATAGAAGGAACTGAGTGGTTAGCTCGACAATGCCTAGAACAACTACCTAATTAGGTAGAATAATGTGAACACAACAGATAATAGATTATTTTGGGATAAGAATTATATGCGGATAACTGAATTGCTTGGGCAACAAGATTGGGCAGTCCAGACACTCAGACAATGAGGTTGGGCAGTATGGGCACTTGGGTAGCAAGATCGGGAAAACCTTGGGCAACAAAGCGATGGCTATATATAAGGGGGTGAGGTATGATCATTATGTTGGGGCTCGGTTAGGAACGTCGAACTCATGCAAGTCATGAACTATCTACGAATTAAACTCTAAGCACAGCGGAACTAAAAGCTATGGTTCAACGTGTACTGTTTAAAAGTTTGTCGACTCTGAGACGTCTTTTATTTCCATTGATGGAGATCTTATGAGTCTTGTTGCGCTTCCCGGTGTCCAATTTGTGTCTCACATTGCCTACGGCCTCGTCGGACCATTCTCGGTTGCACCGCATCGCACAGAGGTTGTCAGACCATGGCCAGGTTGCTACAGATCGCCTGGGTCACTATCGGGTCGCCTGCTGCGGCTTGGGGTGCGTATGGCTACACGGTTGTGCCCGCTGGTGCACGGGCATTGTCGGGTCTCGCCCTGCTGCTCGTAGATGGATCGCTGGAAACACACTGCTGCACGTTGGGAACACGCTGGGACGACTACGTATGAGATGCACGCTGCTGCACACGTGATGCGCGCTGCTTCTCGCGGATGGACACGTTGAGGCGCGCAGATACTTCGTTGGGACGGGTCATCGATAGGGCTGCAAACGAGCCGAGCCGAGCCGAACATTGGCCTTATCGAGCAGGATTGAGTTTCTTTTTTGCCTGCTCGAGCTCGTCAAGCTTGATTTTTTAGGCTCGAGCTCCACTCGATAAAAATTACAATAGCTCGAGCTCGGCTCGAGCTCGAATCGAAATCAAAATACTCGAGCTCGGCCCGAGTTCAGCTCGAAAATTTTTAAGTGGAAAGGTAAATTACCATTAAGCACATATGCTAATATATATATATATATATATATATATATATAT